AAAATCTAGCAAATAAAGCCACATCAGAGATGAGATACTGAGCTTGATTGTGTAATCTATCAAACTCAGTATAAGCTGCGAAAACATCCTCCTTAGCCTCATTAGTGTAATGAGCGGTGGCAGCATCAATACGGGCCTCAACATCATTGGGAGTACTGACAGCTAAACGGGATATGGAAGATCCCTTGTGGTTCAAATTCTGGAATAAGTATTCCGCCCACGATACTTGCTTAACTCCACTTCCTCATACTTCTGTCAGCTAAGCACAGATGTGGAAATGACACATTAGTTCCCAAAGAGTCGCATAGATCTCAGGACTAGTTGTTCTTAAAATCTTAAGTTCTCTCACTCCTGGAACAAACTCTTCATATGGTAGCTCTCCAAAGGGTAGACCAGAAATGTCATACATCTCGTGGAGAGCAAAGCCCAGCTCCCCAACAGGAGTGAAGAAAGTGCATGTCTCTGGGTTGTACCGCTCCAATATAGCAAAGAAATTGTAATGGCTTTGAGCGATACCATACCGAGCGGCCATCATAGAATCTCCAAGGCCAGACTTACTAAGTGGTGCCTTTAACTCCTACAGGACAAAGTTCTTCATCTGGGTCAACCACCCCGCTTTTGAAGAGTGCATCCATCTAGGAGATCTGAATTCTTGTGTGGGAAATTCGCCCTTCGCCACAATAAATCTTCTGACAAAATGGTTCACTGGGCTGGCCACTTTAGCAACTAGATATTCCTTAGCAAATAGGCCTGACCTCAAAGCTGTCACTTGCCGGCTATAACCTATCGAACGAACACCATGATAAGTCAGGGCACCAACTGAAACCCCGTCTTGTTCTTTGATGAGATCCCAATACATGTACCTCGGGATGGAAGCACATTGGAAATATGATAGAGGGAACATCCTCTCCATGTTAGGCGAGAAAAGATTATGATCACCAACTTTCCTTAGCCATTTGAAGTTCCCGTCGTACATGACTTCTGTATCAAGTTTAACAGAATCTTCAAATATGAAGGTTGTCTTGTTGAATTCCTTACGATCGATGGTCTCAAATCTGGTATTAGTGACGAAATCCCTAAGAGTTACCGAAATAGCTTGAGTAACAGTCTTCGCATGCTCCTTATCGGTATCTTGGAAGACAGGAAGTTCTTGGTGAAAATTAAACTGCATGTTGCGATCCGCACCACCTTTATGTCCAAATTAATGACAGAAGGAAAGAGATTCATTAGGGTAGCGCACTACAAGTAAAGAAACAAACAAGTTAGTATGAAGCTAAAATAAGTCTAAAAAGATTTAGTTCTAAACACAAGGCTCAGTCCCGTGTTTTGACTCTAAAACGCGGAGGTCAAACTTACATTTCAAAATCAAAATGCTGAGGTCAGACCCATGTTTCAAAATAAAAACGCTGAGGTTAGACCCGTGTTTCAAAATCAAAACGCTGAGGTCAAATCTGCTTTTCAAAATTAAAACACTGAGGTCAACACTGTGTTTCAAGTTCAAAATACAGAGGCCCACTTCCGCATTCAAATAACAAAATGTGAGACTTGCTCGTCGTTCAAAATTCAGAACTTGTCGAAACAAGTTTTACAGTCTCAGAGTTCAGTACTCACCACCGACAAAAGGGGTCTGTGATGGTAAGTACCGACAAAAGGGGTCTGTGACGGCGGCGT